GCAATCTAGTTAAATCTTCAAATGCTTTATCATATTTGCCCATAATAAAAAATATTTTTCCTCGGTAGCTTAATTCATAGCTTAATTTAAATACATTACTTGGATCTTTTTCTAATGATTTTGTTAATTTATCGATTAAATTAACAAGCATATTTTCATATCCACCCATAATAAAATAATCCTTTTCTTGATCTTCCAATGTTAATACATTCTTTGATTTTTTACCAATGTCTTCATTAGTTATTGCTGTCAATCGAAATATATAGACAAAATTGAATTTTAAATAAGCAAAAAACGATTAAACCTTTTGAATAAATTTACCAGAATATTTAAAATTTTTGTTGCCAAAGTTTACTTCTACTGATCCGCCTTGAGATCTAAATCCAACGCAAGGGTATAGATTGCCTTCCAAATCGTTAGGTAGATGGCATGCAATTCCTTAAAATATTTTATAATTATTGAATTTTTTTATTTATCCACGCTAAAAGATATAAACTTCAGTTTCTAAAATGATGATTACTCAAGTTAATTCCATTTTTAGTATAAAATATCATCTTATTTTTAAAATTAGATAACATCCAATTATATCACCAGTCGTATATCCAGGAGTATTTCCATCATATGATAAATCATATGGCCCACCACTTCCTGAATAAAGAGAATATCCATCGTCACCATGGTAACCACACCCTATGATTCATTTTCCTGTCCTAAAAGAAATGATATAGGCGTTAATCTATAATAATAAGAATATAAAATAAAAATTTGCTTTTACCAGGCATGAGCATATTATTTATATAATTTGAATCGTCAATTTTTTTATCGCTTTGCTTTGTACAATATCCGATTCCAATCATTCTATTAAGAAATAGAATTAAAAGATTATAAAAATTACCAGAACAATGGTGATGTTTATAGTACGAAATGATTATTAATATTACCTTTGTTTATAATTTTAATTTCAAAGTAAAATATCCCACACACTGAAGGGATTGGATTATTCGCTCGAACTTTTACTGCTTTATAGTCATCAGGATCTTTAATTAAAAGGTTTTTATAAATTAAATATCTATGATAATAATCTTTTTTAAATGCCGATAATTACAGTAACATTAAATATGTTACTGTGGGATTTCTCATTTTCACATTACCTGTATAACTCACTCTAAGTCCACTTGAATCTATTTCAATAAATGGCGATTTATCTTCAATATCCCATGCAGTCGGTAAAACAATATCATTATACGAAGTCACTAATTCTAAATCTCCCATTAGGATCTTTTGTTGACGAACGGTAAACAGACAAAAGTAATTTATAGAAATATTAACGAACACAATGTACTATTTATGTTAATTAATTTTCGGAATGATCCCCATGCTAATTTTGGAAGTATTGTACGGTAACGCTGTGTTATGTAATTACAATATAAGTCAACAAATAATATATAATAATAATAATTTTCGACCGGTCATTAACAACGAAGCTCCACAATGTTATGTGAACGTGATGAAACAACGTTGGAATAAAGAACCTGAAAAACGGTCAACAGGAGAACTCTGAAGTTTTTAAATAATGGTGAGAAGAGTATCAAATTTTAACGGAACTAAAAATACTTAAGCATATTAAAAACCTTGACATAAATGCAAACAGTGATAGCAAACTAATTAGTTTATATAATCAAAATCAAAATCTCATTTTATCTCGGAACTGTGATCAATATTTTATAATCAATCCTTAAGATAATATCTAGTTAGAAAAGAAAAATAAAGTGAAATTTATCATTTTCTAAAATGAAATTTAAATATCATTTACCAAGAGACTATTAAAATATGTAAAAAAAAAAACCTCTAAGTAATGATTGAATTCGAATGTGTCTTAAAAGTGAATTCAGTTTAGATCTTTAAACAGGTTATAACAATTCAATCTATATTCAATAAAATAGATGAGAGTAATAAATGTTAACTATATAACAAAAAGAATCTTAGCATTGAGTTTGTGTAGAAAATACCGTGAATCCCAACCAATCAAATTTCGAGTTTAATTTCGTCGATAGTCTCAAAACGCCATTTTTTAAATTAAGATACTTCAAAGGTTTTTGGCGTAAAAGGAAAAATATAGATGTATAAAAAAAATGAAATAACAAAATTTTATTATATTTAAGAAAACTAGTTATATTATAAGATATAATATATAGCATCATGTATATTATCATGTATATTATCATGTATATATAATGTATATTGTATATTATACTGTAGTTGATTGTTCATATCGATCATAAAAAAGTTATTTAGGAATTTTTTCTGTAAGCCACCCTTAACATGAAAAAGAACTATTCTAGCGTACACGTTATTCTAACCATCAATAAGGGTACCAAAATTATTTTGGCATCACTCACAATTATTTTGCATCGTTAATTTATGTAAATATAAATAAGTACAGTACGTAAACTAGGTTGTGGGTATAGAAACTTGGGAGCATGCAGTTACGTCAACTGATTTGCCACAACTAAGATTTTGGATTTAACTCTGGTATTAGATATGATGCAGAATGTATAGACGTTACGTTGATTCTGAACCTAAAAAAGTCTATTTGAAATTTACTTTTTTTTTTTTTTACATTCATTTTTAAAAATGTGTGAACAACGATTTCCATATATCTATGTGGGAAATCGAAGGATTTGGAAATTTAGATTAGTAAAAATTAAACTTCGGGTCTTAAAAACTCCATGACATGGTGATCTGCGACCGTTCACACCTTTTTGAAAACAGCTATAAAAAATAATAAATAAAAATAAACAAATAATTTTATGAAAATTAAAAAATAAATCTTTACTAGCTCCTCACGTGTCACTACGTGCCACATTTTATTTCGAATCATGTCTTTAAGAATCTCATCTTGTCAAAGCAAAATAGGTATAGCAATAACGAAGTTCAATTTGAATTTTACTTATAGCATTTAGTCATTTCAAATACATATTTAATGAAATTTTTATAACGTTGTTGTTGTGTTTTATATAAAAAATATCAATAATAATAAAGTAAAATAAACTAAGACATTCTGGTAGATAACGACGAAATAGCGATGTATTGGTTTAATGCTGTAATAAATTAACTAAATGTTTTAGAATTGGTGTAAATAGGCATTTGAAAAGTGTGGCTTCTGTATATTATAAAAGAATTGAAAGAATGCAGACACATTTTCATTTTTTTTCAAAAAAACCAAGATACTAAAAGCAATTTTATTTAACTTACTTATATTTGCTCCAACCGTTTAAAATAATTTTTGTACAAATCTATTTATTAGTGTCAAAAAATAAACAAAATTAGTTAATTTTACCTACATGTTTTTATTGTCTATAGCACTTCCCGATAGACAATATTTTTTGTTTTGGTACAGTCAGGTGGAAGCTTAACCCGAACAGATGTTAAGCTTTTCGCTCTAGAGAATGCAACATACGGTTGTCCATGACTAAAGATTGGGTTAGTAAGCATCAAACCAACACACTGAAATGTTTGTCCTTGCGATTTATTGATTGTCATCGCAAATCCAAGTCTAACTGGAAACTGAGTTCTTGTAAAATGGAAAGGTAAAAAATCATCGGCTGGTTGAAGTTTGATTCTTGGTATTAAAACCTGACGCCCAGCAACACTTCCAGTTACAAGTTCACAATCTAGAACGTGATCATGCATTCGTTGCACAATCATCCTTGCTCCATTGCAAAGGCCTTGGTTAACATCTAAATTGCGTAGTAACATTACAAAAGCCCCTTGCTTTAGAATTAGGCAATGTGGTGGTAGTCCATTAGGTGTAAGCAAATATAGAAATTCCTCTGGAAATTCAGTTGGGTCTTCATCTTGGTTACAAACTATTTTATCTATACTAAGATATATTTTTTCTTGTCCGGGCATTCTTTGAATTATTTCATTACACAGATCAAGAGTCATTTTATTCGTTGGACACAGAATCACTGTTGAAAGTAGGATTGTTTCATCTCTGCTTTCTATAGCACTACCAAAAACATCATCCACTAGGTTATTAGTTGAAATACACTGTTCTGGAACTTCTATTTCTTCATTAACTGATGGAAGTGTTCCATTTCCAAGGTGGAGAAGCTATTGTGCAAACTCTATTTCATCTGCATTTGTTCTCATGTTTTGGTGAAGTGGCAAGATAGTAAAATGTGACCAAAGTTTAGAGCTTTTAATGCATGCTGCAACACTTTTAGTTCTTGATCCTTTTGGTACTACAGGTAGGACTTGTCAGAAGTCACCACCTAGTACCATTATTTTACCTCCGAAAGGTTTTTGAGTTTGTATTATATTTCGAAGACCAGCTTCAATTACTTCTAAAGCTTGTGATGAAGCCATCGGTGCTTCATCCCAGATGATAATCTTTGCTTTTTTAATAGGTTCCGCATCTTTACTATTAGCAGATATTAGTAATCGTGAGTCTGCATCCAATATCAATGGAAGTTTAAATCGGTTATGTACAGTTGTTGCATTTGGCAATAGATTTGCAGCAATGCCTATCCAAGCTACAGTAAGTATTTCTATTCCAAGTCCATTCATTATATAGCACAATGTTTGATACAAAAATGTTTTTCCGGTTCCACCAGGACCATCAATAAAGAAGTACATATCATTATTACTTTGATTATTTACTGCAGCTATAATTCTATTAGGTATAAGTTGTTGAGCATCATTTAATTGAATATACATTCTTTGGCCAATTTCATATTCTTGGTCTTTATTAATTTGTTCATTAGTGTTAAATACATTAGTATGTGTACCAGGTGATGGTATATGATAGTTTTTATCAAGAGATTTATGAAATTGTGCTAACTTGTTATTAATGTTTTCATAAGCAAGAAATAGGGCAACTTCAACATTATAACTCCGAATAAAGTCTTCATAAAGATATACTTTGTAATTGTTCCAAAGTAACAAAGGATCGCTAACACTACTCCATATTAGTATTGTTACAAATAGTTGTCTTAATTCTTCTGGCATTTGCCACAGAGCAGCTTCATCCATACATTTGTTCCATTCATTATCATCATCCAGTAACTCTCTTATTAAAGCTGTTTCATGAAAAGAGACATATGTATAACCTTGAACAGTTCTGAGATCTGCAAAACTTTTAGCACCAGGGTATGCAAAAGTAAAAGTCTAAGACAAAACCATTCCATATCCAATGGAGAAACAGTATACATTCTACCAATAATTTTTTTTGTATATTGTACTCGTTTATTCTATGTTTTTGTTTTTGTATTAAAAGTGTAAAATAGTGGAATATTATGATATAATATTTTTACTGCATCAGTATCTTGTTCATTTAATTTAAACCAGGCTGTTAGCATCGTATCTTGAGCTTGCTGAGAATTTAAAGCTGCAGCTTCATTTCTAGTACTAAAATAAACATTATGTTCTTCCGGTAAATGTACAGGTAATTGTATAATTGTATGTGATTTTTCTTGCATTTTGTATTCACTCAACCTCCAAAATGCTTCAGGTGCACTAACATAACGTGAATCAACAAAGGCAGAAATTTCATCATGATCAAGTATTTGTACTTGGTTTCCTTCAATAGTTCTTAACCGTAATTTCGCACAATCATGCCCTTTAAAAATGTACTTATAGAGATACTTAAAGCTTTTTACTGAGGATCATATTTCCACAATTATATGAGCTTGGTATTTTAAAAGTAAATATGGATTGTGCGGTACAATCCATTGGTTGTTTACTTCATATTTTCCAATCTTAATCGTTCTGCTAGTATTTCTTCATTGGTATTTTGGATACCCATTGTCATTTGCAACTGTTTCTTGACAATATTCCTTCGAATAGTTCTTAGTACACGCCCTATTTTCATTCATACATGGTGCTTCATGATTCAAATGGCCACATGGACCATGATCCATTGTTTTTCCAATAATTTGATATAGATGTGGATGTTCAGTAGGATCTGGTATTTTACAACTTACAATTTTATTAATTGTTTCAGAATCTTGTGGGTTTATACTTATCAGAAAGAATCAATAACATATGACAGTGGGGTAATCCACGCTTTTGAAATTTAATAACTCTTGTATATGCAATAATTTTTTCAAAAATTTCATTTTTTAATAAATCCTCCATTAGTATATCAAGCTTGAGCTTGAATACTTTACCTACAATGTCCGGTCTATCAGCTGCAGTTTGTCCAGGATATAATGATCGAGTAATTTCTTTCCAGGCTGGATTACATGTAATTGTCAAAAAAATATCAGGTTTACCAAATGCTCTACATATTGCCATGGCATCTTGATAACTTTGTCTCATTGCTCTTGGACCTCCTGGAAAACTTGATGACAACACAACAGCACGCCCCACAATAGCACCTCTTTCCTCAGCAGCAGCAGCTAAATAATCTGACAATCCACAATAAGTTTTAGCCCGTAATGTTTTTTGATTTTGTCGCTGATAGTTTAATCTTGTTGATTCAACCTTTACATATGCATCAACCAAGTATTGCTGAAAAAGAGCACCAGCATATAGAATCGGATTAAAACTATTTCTTTGTGCCATTCGATAACAATAAAATTGTAATATAGAAACATATGTTCTTCTTGTTTGATTTTGATGATTATTAATTATTTTTGGGTGCCAGCCTTTATCACCTCTTGGAAATAGCATGGGATATGACATTGGATCACAGTCAGCATTAATTACTGGAATAGTTTTAAGTTGATTACTGCGTGGATGTACAGCAAGACAATGAGAAGGAAATCTATGTTCTTCAGGTCCAACAAAAATTGCTGCAACTTCATTCACATGTGGTGTATTATAACGACGTTGGTCAAGGTGATGATCATTTTCAAAAATCATTTGTACTTCTAATGGTTGACAACCTTGCTCTGTTGCTATGTCATGTTCTTCTTGTTGCACCTCTCTCATCATCTAAAATGCTTGTGCAAAAGGACTTACCTGTCGAAGTGTTAAATCTAAAAGTGATAGTAACCTAGAATCAAGACCTACATTAACAGGATTATTACTTCGGCATGCTTGTGCATCAGCAGTTTCCAAGAAGTAAAGCTGTTCAAATATTGGAACATCACCTATACTTGGTTGAGCAGGCCCAAGAAAGTGATATATCTGTTCTGATATCTTGTATGCATATGGTCCACGACCAGAAAGTAACTCATTATTTGATACAACTGATGCAAATACTGTAGCACCATTATACTTACGAATGTGTTCAAAAAAGGTCTTAGATAGTAAATGGTTGCGAAGAAAAAGTAGTTTTAATTCATTTGGAAATGGTAAAAGAGGTGGCAATGTAACAGCCCCTTTATGGCAACAGGATGTAAATTGATCCAAATCACTAGCAGTTCGTTCTTCCTGAAAATGTAAAGCTCCACAATGATAGCATTCAACATCCATTTGCCCAATATCTGCTTCAAGAGGATAATCTTTAGCAAAATAAAGAGCCTCACAACACATGGGCAAAGTGTGACAGTTATTTCTTGCCAAATGTTTTTGTAGTGTATTTTGCTCTCTCTTTTGTTGCTGCTTGGCAGGTGATAAATTGGCTCTTGCCAAACATTTTTTTAGTGTATTTTGTTCTCTTTCCCGTTGCTGATCAGCAGGTGATAAATTAGCTCTTCTTCTACGCTTCGCAGCAGTTTCTTGATTTCTCACTAATTCTGCATCTGGTTCCCGTCTCCTGTGTTGTTGACAATGTGCTTGTGCAGCCTTTCTTTTATCCATATTATTTTACAAATAACATTTACTACGAATTAGTACAATATATATAGACACAGAGATTTTTGCGTCATTGGATTATATTCCATTGTAAAGACGTGTTGATACATCTTTAAAGTATAATTTAAGTATACTTGCACTTAGAACATTACATTCGTTAGTTATTCATATTAACTACAAGATATCATCATATCGCGGTATTATTGCACACATAACAAATAAAGTTGCAAGTTAAAATATCATAGCATCACTATATGCATCGCAAATAAATTTGCAAGTTAAAGAAACATGCAATAAATTAACTAACAACGATCAAATCTTTCAATCATTACATTGCTTAAAAAAAAATGGCAAAATTCATTACAAGAAAAATTAGCTGTGCAAATATAGAGGCAGGATACTGTGTCAACGGCTATATAGATAAGTATCTTATATTACATGTAAAATTTATTTAATCTTTAATGTTTTATTATTTTTTTTATGTATGTACCCAGAATCGAATAATAAAATTTCCTTTTTATTGCTCTTAAATATTACGATTATTAGAACTCTTAATTACTATGAATGTGAATGTACAGTACGTATTTTATGATGATCATCAAATGGAAGGTTCTGATTGGCTGATGTTGACGGACGGACAGACATTCCACTTTAACATAGTAAGATGTCTTTAATCAAACCAAATTTTGATACCTCTATGCCATTGGAATCTATATCATCAGAATCAGAGACTAACTGCAATTTAGCGCAAAAAAAGATTGGAAGAGGTGGTCCCATCTTTGTTGAAGTATGGGATTATATGATTAAGGGTGAAAAGTGAATTCAGAACATTATAAAGCAGAATATTTTTCATTGTGGCAAGCTCTAGTGGAGGTTAATCCTGAAGACCTTGTTGATACTGTTTTAAATATTGAATTAAAGATTAAATTAATAACAATAAATACAAACTATAAAAAATAAAATAATAAAAATTAAATATATATATATATAATGAATTTCAAACTAGCTAATTGCATAATTCCAAGAAAATTGTACTGTCAATTTCATTTAAAAGTAATATAGTGTTTGATGTTTTATTAGATATATCAGATATGTTTAAATTCTAGATATAGTATTAGTATCACCAGTGATTGATGTTTTTTTGCTCAAAGATATTATCAGGATTAGATAGGTTAAGTCAATTCCTCAATCTTTTGATATAACTTTTCAATAGATATTCATTTGTATGGTAGTTGTTTTCATGCCATTCGCTGATTAAATAGAAAATATATTAACATAGTCAAATAGAAAACAAACTTAATCAAATTACCTTTGCAAATTTATTTCAATAAATTCTAATTGAATTTTTTCGTCATTAGGGTTGTTAAATTTCTAAGTGAAAGATCTTTTCTTTTACACTTAGAAAATGATCACATATTTTTTCAGTATCCAAACCCTCACAAGGAACCTTTTCATAGTAGTAGAGTTCCTAAATTAGCATTCCGAAACTAATTGTAAAAAATATAAAGTAAATTTATATAAATCATATGAAAATTTCACAATTAAATGTATAAGTTTTTTCTCTATTCATTCCAAATGCAATTTGATATATTCAGGGCCACACAGTGAAAAATATTATAAATAGCATCAATTTTAGATTGTTTTACTAAAGTCATAACCCACTCTGGGAAAGGTTAAGCACATATTAAATTTCCAAGTTTTGGATCCAGGTTATATAACATCTGTAGTTTGACACGTATGTTAGTTAACAGTTTATCAAGATTTATATTTTAAATATAGTTATAGACAAAGTGGTTACATTCGATGTATTCAATACCGTATAGTTCCGAAATTAAGCACCCCTTTTTTGTTATAGGGGGTGCTTAATTTCGGATGATTTTTTTTTATCG